TCTTTATCTTTGCTGTTGAGGAGGGAACACTGTTCTTCAACTGCAGCACCAAGAAGGGATGCCTGCACTGGCTGCAGAGTGAAACCACTGGCTGTGGGGACTGGTGCCCACTCCTGATGATGAGCCGCTCTGTCTCTTCCCTGTGTGAGCAAACTGCTGTTGCATCCAATGCTTGTGTGTAAGCTCTGCTATTGCTGGTGACCTCAGACACTGGTTTAAGAGAAATAGGCTGTTATGGCGCCTGTACAGTATACAAGAAGGGGAGTAAGACAACTGGAAAAGAGAATAAGTTAAATTTTATTCATCTACCTTTTTAATTAAAGCACAACCAGTAAAGATATATTTATAATTAAAACCATGAATATGATAATAAGAATATTTAAAATAATATCCTAAATGAAGTCACATTAAAAGGTGCATAATTAAAATAAAACACGATGTACGAAATCCTATGGAGACCAGGATAACGGGGAAAAATACAACAGAACAATTCCTGACAGTAATGTTAACTATGATTAGATAAAACGAATGCACAGAAAACAAACTAATGGATATAAGCAACCAAAATAAGATAAAAATTGAGAAAACCTGTTACCATACCCACACACACCAAGTGAATTCTGATTCATAGTCACCCTCTAGAACAGAGTAGAACTGCTCCTTAGGTTTTAGATGCTGTAGTTATTTTTTTAATAACTAAGAAAATGACAACTTTTATTATGAAATATGTATTAGATAACATTATATCATTGTTAGATTTCTTTATTTATGTGCAACATTATATTTTTGCAACATTATTTTTAAAGGTAATTTAAAAAGTATTCAAAATAAAAATATTTTAAAGTATTTGTTCAGCAACTACAATCCTTTAACATTTTCTTTTTTTTTAATTCAAACCCTTTTATCAGGATATAATCCAGACATTATATCATTCAGTTTCTAAATATTTTCTTCCTTCCTGAAACCCTTTATATCAGCTCCCATTTAAGCCCACTTCCCCTGATGTAGCCCCCAGGAAGCCTTATAATAGTGACTATCTCTGCAGATCCACGCATCTTGGGTTTCATAAATTGAAAAACATAGAAAAAATTAGCAGGGAGTCAAAAAGGCTAACAACAATGACAAAATAAAACAGAGCTAAACCCCTATATAAAAAAAACCCTACTAAAATATTAAAACCCAGGTTAATCAGAAAGTGTATCAAAAGGGAAATCAAATGACAAGGTTTTAGTCATTCAAGCCAGATTTACTTTAATCTACCATAGTCATCTCTCTAATAGTCTCTGTCTGATCACCAGGTTATTCCTGTCACTCCCTTGGAGTGGTGGTGGTTTTGCACTGCTGATCTTGAACTTAGCATCCCTTTGTAAAATCCACTATGCCACCAGGGAGTGTGGATTGGTATATAATCTTCATTTGGATATAGTGTTTATTACTTATTTATTGCACTTTGTTTTCCTGATTGTTCGATAGCTGTACAGCTAAACTTTATAAGGAATAATATATGTATTGAACGTTGAATATTAAATAATTAAATAATTTTCTGAGTATAAAAAGGTTATGATATATTACACTTGGTTAACCAGAATTAATCTCAGTTTTCTCCACCTTTCAACCAGAGATGTTGTTAAGTGCTTTTGAGTCAGTTTTACTCATAATGATTCTGTGTACAACAGAACAAATACATAAACGGCCGAGTCCTGAACCATCCTCACTTGCTCCTAAGTTTGAGGCCATTTTTGCAGCCACTCTTTCTGTGCATCTAATTAAGTATTTTCCTCTATTTTGCTGACACTCTGCCAAACAGGTTTGTGGTAGTTACATAATCTCCTGTAAACTTGAGGCTATTAAGAACGAATGGGGTGGAGTTTAGCCGGTCAGTCAGGTTGCTGCTTGATGACCTCATTTGGGGTTGCAATAGAGATAAATAGCTCACTGGAGGCAAGACCCACTCTCTCTCTATTTCACAGTCCTGTTGACAAGCCACATGGTGGCATGCTGCTGGCAGCTAGAACCCTGGAGTTGCATCTACTGCCATTGGACCCACAGGACTTTCCACTCACCGCCTGTGATCTTCCTGCATTTGGCATCATTGTATCTGCTGCACTTTCTAATATCGAACTCATCAACTTGATCTAGCCTGAGCTGGGCTGTTTATTGATGTATACTTACTTCTTGATATAAAGTTATCTTACCTATATTCGTGTGTCAATGAATTTGTTTCTCTAGTCAACCCGGTCTAACATAAGAATAGTCTTTCTAGGAACAGGTTCCCCAATAACATATTCACAGCATGAGGGGTTTAAGTGGAGAGAAAATGTTTTGAGAAATGATGTACAAATGCGCTTTACACAATTGATGTGTGTATGGATTGGGATAACAGTTGTATGAGCCCCTAATAAAATGTTCAAAAAAAAATTA